TATTGCTGCATATTTGTTTTGGTCATCGAGATTCTTTTTTTTAGCATTGTTTGAGATTGTTTTTTAGAACTAGGGGAAGAAACAATGATGAACTGGATTTTTTTTACCCATTTATTACTTATTTTTCTTGGTTTATAATCTAAATAGAAGTTACAAACATTTATTATATCATTATTCAGTGATTAATTTTGATGTTCAAATACAAATAACTTGTTGAATCGATATTTCCATAAATCCATAGTTCATTGATCTTGAATTTGTGCCAATTAATTGATAATGTATTTTCCTGGCTATTTTAATACTTGAGAAGATAGGGTGCATAACATGCAATCTTTATACATTTGCAATAATATTATTCTCTTATATTCATACCCATAGAATGTTTGATGCTTGTAGTGTTTCAGCTGTAGTGGCATGAAAGATATGCATGAAGAGTAAATTATAGTTTATTTTGAAGGCTGAAATGAATACTGATATAATTTTGAAGGCTGAAATGAATACTGATATGAAATGAATACTGATATAATTTAAATTTGTTCGACTTTATCTGATCGAATAATTATTTCCATTTGTTGAGAACACACAAAACTTAACAATAATTATGGATTTAAAGACCTTCTTTATTGATAGCTTCACTGATTTATTTGATTAAACTATTTTGACTCATGTGATGTTATGTCAATAAACTGCTAAGAAGATCTAATCAAGAGCAGCTAGCTTTGTTTTGTTTTACGATTTGAGCATGTATAATAACAATATCTGATTTTTCTTTTACTTTATATTTTGGATATTTCAGAAAGAAATGCGACTAGATTTCCTTTGCTATATTTTGGAACTTTTTGGTTTACTATCTGCGGCTGGGAACCTTTATAGTTTGATAATTTAATTCTTATTACCTGATGTACAAAAAAGGGGTGACAGATATATATATATATATATTTTGAAAGCTTAAAAGTTGAAATTGGTGAATCATACTATAATAGATAAGTTACATGTATGAATGATTGAACTCTATATCAAATTTTGAGACAGTTTATACTGTGATATATTATGTTACTTTCATATCGGTAATACATTCACACGTAAGACATTTATATGTGCTTATTTGTGAGTTAAATCCTTGGAATCACGATGATGCTGCAAGCTACTTTATGGTTCGATTAACAAAAGTTAATATATGAAAATTGTGGTTGGGGCATGGATTATTGAAATACTGATAAGTTGCATTGTTGTTCACTCTTTAAACTTGACATACATGTACACGATGCATTTGAGATGATCTAAATACTGTATGTGACGATTCATTTGAGACATACGGGGAATTCGTTCCTCTTCCTTACACTATTTTAACGGGCAAATTGGTTTGATATGCATGTGAAACAACAAAGTAGCCTACACGTTTGAGGTTTGGGTAAAGGCAATGATGCAAAGAACCTTTAGTCAGCTTTTTCTATTAGTTGAAAACATAAAATCAATATTCAATTTGTAAGATGCCTTTTTCACTTCCTTTAAGTCGCTGGTAGCCCCAACCCTTTATTAAAAGATCTAGTGAACAACAACAGATCTATACTTTTAAAAGTTCAGATACTAGACCAATAAAATAACAGATGTTATAACTGATAAGACAACAAATACTATACTTATAGGGCGATGAGCACTATACTTACAAATACTACACCATGGAAACTACACACTAGTTACTACAGATTCGATATTTTACACATGTACATTACACCTTCACAAATTATTTACCAAATCCTATACACCGAACATTACACCTCAACACCACATATAAACATACTTCACCTTTAATTGATAAATTTAGATACTATATGCCATCTATTAGATACCATACATAAGTATATCATACCTTTAATTGATAAATTCAAATACTACTTGGGTTCATTAATCAATTAATTGACATGGTCTAGGGTTGCCCAACTCTAGGGGTGATTCGCTGGTGACTTCTGATTGATATTAATAGGTAGATTTCGATATTTCAGTTGCTTGGGGGATCAAGATAAAAGAGAAAATAAGTCTAGTCTGAGCCTAACCCCAAATTAAAATTTTATATCCCACTTTAAATTTTCATATGCTTATCATTTAGCCTTTCTTTTATAATCTGCAAATATTTATCTAATCCATTTATATTATGTAATTGTAATCTGTTTTGAAGCATCAACAAAATTTAACCAGGTACGCTTTTATTTATTTAAGTTATTTACTGTATATTTCTTTTCTTTTTGTACTATATTGTATCTTTCTACATTTTCTTTGCATTTTTTTTACTGTACTTTGTTATATAGCTTCTTCTTTCTTTACTGTACTGTATTGTATACATTCGTCTGTATTTATGCTTTTAGTTACTACCCTTTTTGGCATGTTTATACAATATCCTAAGATAGGCCGCTCGAGGCATGATTTTCTTTCCTTTACTCTTTTCACGTAACGAGATTACGACGTGGTCGATTGATAATTTATCTTCGGGCAACAGTCGGGACTACAACAGAAGGTGAAAAGAGGAGCTTCAGCTGAACTTTCGTAAACTTAAATAACATACATATAGGACGTCGAGATCGTTCGTCTGGTACGACGTAAATCCTTATACACTATCTTTTAGGACTTTTTACAATTTTATATCATATGAAATAAGTCTTAAACTTTTTAGATTCCGAGGTCGTCGTTCGGTACGACATAAATCCTTCTATTTTCTATGGCTATTTGCATATGACATGCAAACATAAGTCCTGAATATCTAAATAATTTGCATGAGTAAAATTTCAAATAATTTCTCCTTAAAAAATGTAAAGCCAAATTATATGTTAGGTGGAGATGTCACTGAAACTTTTTCGGTATCTTCGAGATCTCCTACTTTTCACTCATTTGGGTTCCGAATTAACTGTTCCACATTGAGCCATTTCCATTTGAATTTTATATAAACAATTGTGGAAACCTAAATGTTGAATTCTTGAAGACGAAACCCCGATCTTAATCGAGAGTTTTCTTAGGTGACTTCAGTTGTCTAAGATGTAATTAATTATAGGGCTTGCGTCTATAGTGAATTAAGAACTCAGATTAATCTAAACTCTGTCTAAATTGTGCATTAGATAGAAGAATTTGTCGGCTGTAAATTTCACAGACCAAAATAGTCATAAACTTTTAAGTTTAGATAGTTGAGCCTATCAATAAGTGATATGTTTATCCTTCGAGATGATATATCATTTATGATATCGTGCTCAACTATTTAAACTATTAGATATATGAGATTATTAGATATATTCGGTCTCATTATTTTTCAAAAATAAAAAATATCATTTTCACAAAATTACAATTACATTATATATTATATTAAATATAAATTTAAAATTTTATTTAAAAAAAGAAATAAATAATTAGCCGACAGATGGCTATGATATCAATTGGATTCAAGATGTCTTAGGGCTAGAGTTTTCTAATGCAACTAGAATGTTGTTTTGTTTTGTATGCAAATCAAGCAAGGGAACTTATGATTCACATATCACGTACCACTTAATAAGTCAACAATTTGCCTTCTTTAAATGAAAATTTTATATATCGAAAATCCTAATCCTATAAGTTAGCATTTCAGGTTTCAAATTTTATATCATGAAGCAACTCAAATGCTAGCATTCAGTGTGTGATGTTCATAGGTGGAGATATCATCAAACGGTTATGATTCATTTGTATTTTAATATAAAATTTGGAAAATCATAAAGCTAATTCTATGCAGATTTTGAAGCATGCAGTTGTGAGTATAGTACTAGAACAAAAAAACACAATAGTCCCATAACCCAAGTAGGAGCCACTATTAATATTTTAATGTTATACTCTTATTTTTACCAGTGCTTAAAAAAGGGAAATCAGAATTGAGCCATCATGCCTTTTGAAGACGAAGCATAAGCTTCAAGGTGAATTGATAACTTTTTAACTAAAAATTTTTAAAAAAATATATGTTATAAAGCATCAACAAATTGCTCAAGGGGCATTGCTCGAGAGTTATTATTCTCATGGTTATTCAAGTTTACAAAAAATCTATTTATTAATCTGCAAGTGTTTGTCAGAAAAAAAGGAAAAAAAAAATCATCACCTCCTTCAATATTAGAACCATATTTGTTGATAATCAATTAAGAACTTCATCAATCCTTTTTTAGATATTTATTTGAGCTACTTTTTAGATGGTTTAGATTTAAATTGTTATGCACATTCCTTTTTAATTTCATTTCTTACTTATTTACATGTTCCAAAATTAAAATGTGCGCAAAAGTTAACCAATTAAAATAGACGTTACTCCCCGAAATCAAAACTTGCTCTAATTGCTTGTTCCTCGCAATTGTCAATCATTGATTGGAATGCAACTCATTTTGCATGCATGCGGTGCCTTTGACTCTCCTTCTCAGACACTAAGTAGCTCTCACCTCTCGCTTGCATCCTGGAGATGGACTAATTGCTAGCACACGAGCACTCCTTATTCACAGGCAGTTGTACTTGTGTGTAATTGTAGTCCTTTATCTCCAAATTGTTAGAAACACTAAACCTATATGCTTAAGAATGTATTCTGTAGGTAAATTTTAGTTTGTGGTATTCGTCTCATATGCTTGAGTACACTTTGAATGATAAGGCATTAAGCCTCACTTGGGCTATAAAATTGTATGCCTTGATGAACTTATTGGGCATCGCATGGTGAGATGTGTCTCAAGATGGATGCATCAAATGCTTTTTTAGAACTTGTTTTTCACTTTCTTTTTGGCATTACTTACTGCCTTTTCTTTATCTCAATCCTTTTTTCATGAGAATCTCTCGCTCTCTCTCTCTCTCTCGCTCAAATAAAAATAAAAAACGCTCAAATAAAAATAAAAAAAAAAAGAGGAAAGAATTTGACTGGTAATAATTCCAGTTGGTTTTGTAGTTGATAGTGGTATCGGATGCACATCACTTGCCTCGCCTTTCAGCCTAATAATCTTTCTTTCGTTAATGTTCAATAGGTTCAATTGAGCTTGCGGCAGTTGGAGTTTCTGTTTCAGTATTCAATCTGGTTTCTAAATTGCTCAATGTTCCTCTACTTAACGTCACAACATCCTTCGTCGCAGAACAGGAAGCATTATACAGTTATGAGGGAAGCAATATGCAGAGTAATGAGTTGAGAATGAGTTAAATTATTAACATTTATTATGATGCTTAATTAAGATTTTGGATTGCCATCAAATTATTGGGAATCTTTCAGGGCCTGAAGAGTTGATGTGCAGCAAGAAGTATCTCCCAGCAGTGTCAACATCATTGTCTTTGGCTGCTGGCATTGGGATTTTGGAAGCTCTAGCATTGGCATTGGGTTCTGGGCTTCTAATGAATATCATGGGTATTCCCTTTGTATGTGAAGCTGTATAAATCATGAACATGAATATTCATACTCCTAATAATTTGTCCTGAATAGGCAATCATGAATTAGATAATGAAGAACATATTTCAGATATAACTAATAGAAAGCACTCACTAAGTCACTTTGTGAACAAACCATCAGAAAATATTTTGTTTCTCATGTTCCCTACAATTAATTTTTTTTAAATGCCTTCCAAGTTTTAGATATATAACCAAACTGTCTATGAAAGGAGATTAACTTTAGCACATCTGCATATTAGGTTATTTTGGTAATATGCACCAGTTTGAATTTTCATTTAATGTGTGGACAAGGGCATATGTAAAAAATTTACTCTTTGGTAAATTTCAGTCTCAAACAAATTTGTTAAAAAAGTAAGCATTGATGTCGTTCACAGTTTATTATTTGTATTCCTAAATTTATAATTTGGGAGACCTAATGTATAATCTCATCTTGTTTTTTTATTTGTTAATTTGATTCTACAAAATTTTGGTTAAATTGTAACTGCTTTTCTATTCAGGATTCACCTATGCGTGCACCAGCTGAGCAATTTCTAACTTTTAGAGCTTATGGTGCTCCACCTTTGGTTATAGCACTTGCGGCACAAGGCACATTCCGGGGTTTCATGGATACAACAACACCATTATATGCTGTAGGTATGCAGCTGTATTACCATTTACATTTTAATGCTCATCCTGACTTAGCTATTAAGGCAAGTCATAACTCCTTGTATCATGCATATTTGTTTCGATTAGGTCTTGAAGTTGGTTTGGACATTTGGATGGTTAGAATTAAAGGAAGATGGCTACAATAGGTTGTTAGTTTCCTGAGGTTATAAAGGGGAAACTAACAGTTGTATTGACATGAGTGTGGATAGAAATAAGGAAAAAAGGTTCTTTTGAGAGGAGAGAAAAAATCAGGAGTAAGTTTTCACATCTTTCTGTTTTTCTTTCAGAAGTAAAAGTCAGTTTTTCTATCAGTTTTTTTATGTTTTAGTTTCTTTTAGTTTGTGTTGAATGACTATTAGCCATTATTATTACAAAAAAATCTATGGACGTTATTTTACCAATTGGTTCAGAGCCACCTCTGTGTGATTGATGAATAATTTATAACAATTATGATTTAGAGAAATTTACAGGCTAGAATATTTTCGGGTTATGAAGATTGAAGTGAGAGCCCTTCTTGTACAATTGGGGCTTGAGGATGCTCTTGGAGGAGAAAAGAGTTTGAGCTCAAATCTGTTTGATGGTGAGAATAAACAGATTTTTGATAAGGCTCGCATTGTTCTAATCTTATATCTTGGAGACAAAGTTGTGAGGGAGATTTCGAAGGACAAATCTGCAGCAGCAATTTAGGTAAAACACAAAGTCTCTACATGAAAAAATCCTTCACCAATCATTTGTTCTTGAAATAAAGGCTATAAACATTCAATATATCGTTGGGAAGAACAATTGAAGAGCTCTTGGATGAATTCAAGAATATAATAGTGCATTTTGAGAACATCGATATTAAAATCAATGAAAAAGATCAGGCATTGTTGTTATTGAAATCCTCGCCCAGTACTCATGAGAATCTCTCTGATACACTAATTTATGACCGAGACTACTTAAGAGCTGTACAAAAACCTCTTATGTTGAAGTAGTTCAAGAATAAACAGGTAAAAAAAGCGATCTCAGGATTCAAACCAGTGAAGGATTGTTCGCTAGAGGCAAGCCTGATGTGAGGGATTTCAAGAAAAATAAATTCAATGATGGTTTTCATGAATTTAACTAGGCAAAATGGTGTGCACATCCTTCAAGGAAAGACAATAATTGGAAGTGCTAAAGTGGCTTCAAAGACAATTTCTGATCACGTTTCACTATGACTTCAAATATTACGTCTTGTGAGTGAAAAAGGACTTGAAGTTTTGGGCAATCCCCCTATTGGACAAATGCAAGCTCGGGAAACTGGACTTTTGCGCGCATTTTACCATTTGGGAATGCATGCAAATTCAAGTTTGGAACTGGGGAGCATGGAACCAAAGGCTCCTTTGAATATCTGCAGTCTGATCTCTGGGAGCCATCAAGAATCAGGTCGATTACAGGTGCTAGGTATTTTCTGTCTGTGATACGATGATTATTCAAGAAGTTTTTGGGTCCTCAATATGAAAAAAAGTATCTTGCTTTTGAAACCTTCAAACAGTGGACTGTTTTGATTGAGTTCAAATCGGAAAAAAGAATTAAAAGACTTCGAATTGCTAATTGTGTGAAGTATTGTTATATTTTATTTAAGGAGTTTTGTGACTTTGACGGGATAGCGAAGCATTTCACAGTCATGGGCCATCCTCAACAAAACGGGCTTGCAGATAGGTTTAGCAAAGAGAGTGGATGTGAGTTCTCAGTCTCAGATTTGCCAAAGTTGTTTTTGGGCATAAGCTGAAGAAAGCCTAATTTTTGAATAACAGGTGCACATCTTCAGCTATGCTATCCAAGACACCACTTGAAATGTTGTCAGGAAAACCAGGGAAGTGTTATAGCTTGCAAATTTTTGGTTGTGTAGCCTATGCACAGATCTCATACAACAAACTCAATCCCAGAGTTAAGGTCTGTTCTCAAGATATCCCGAAGGTGTGAGAGGTTGTACGCCATTTTATGTTGAGTCAGGATGTCCTAAAATTGTCATCAACTGGAACTGCAGAAAAGGGTTTTAGAGTTGAAGGTGGATTCATTAGATAGACAAGGCATAAGTAAATCTAATGTTTTGCTAGACGATGATCGTGAAGATATTGCTATGTTGGCCTTACCTCCTTTTCCTCATGCATATATGAAGAATTTGATGAGCCTATTAGTTATGAGAAAGCAATTAAGAGCCTCAAAAAAGAGCAGTTGATGCAAACTATAAGGGAAGAAATTTATTCTTTGACTAATAATAAATCACCAGATCAGAAGCCGTTTAATTCTAAATGGATTTTCCTGAATAGTTTGGAATTCCAGCCGTCTAGAAGTCAAAGTCTAAAGTCAAATTGGTGTTTATAGGTTTTACATAGAGAGAAGGGTCCGACTATGCGGAAAATTTCTTTCCTGTAGTAAAACACACTTCAATCTTAGTACTTGTGGCTCTCGTTGCAATTCAAGATTTAAATCTACAGAAACTGGATTTTTGAACTGCTTTTCTTCATGGATAATTTGAAGAGACCATATGGATGAAGCTACCTTAGGGATTTGAAGTCATTGGGAGATGTAGAATTAGCTTGTCTGCTCAAGAAATCCTTTTATGTGTAAAGCAATCTCCAAAACAGTGGAATTAAATGTTGGTCGAGCTTATGATCAAATATGGATTTATTAAAGTCAAAATGATGACTGACTTTACTGCCTCGACTGACTTTACTGCAAGGCACTAAGAGGAGATTAGCTTATATACTTGTTATTCTTGTGGATGACATTCTGATGGTTTGTCTAGACTTGACTCAGAAAAAAAAAGCTAAGGAAACTTTGCAAGGTGAATTTGAGATGATTACTAAATCCTTATCTGCTTCAAAATTTTAGCGCTGCTTCAGTTTGAACTTTGGGAACTTAAGCTAAAGAAAAAGAAGATTAATCAAATGATCTAGGTGGAGATTTGAGTCTTGATGCTGGGTTGGACATTTGTTTGGATAGGATTAAATAGGTATATGTCATAAGAAGTAGTCGGTTCGGTAAGTGACGTGGAGATTTTACCCTTGGTTTTTTTTCCCTCCTCTATGAATTCTTTTTATTTCTTTCTTTCTGTGTGTCAATATAACTATTAGTTCCCTTTTTTCAACGGCAACAAATAGTTGTATTGACATATATGTCAATCAGGAAGGACGAAAATTAAACAGCTAAATTAGGACTTTTGGAGCTTCCTTATTTAAATTATTTCCAATATCTTTATTATGATGTATTTCCTTTTTAGCTGAATATTTAGATTAGGAATATGTATTATTAAGTTACCTAAAATAAATTATACAGAATATTTTGTACCTAAAACAGATTGTAAGATTGTTATTTAATGGAATGAAAGCAAAGGGAAAAGGCAATCAAACCTATTCAGAATTCAACTTATTCACGCAAAACTTTGACATGGTATCAGAGCTAAATTTTTGCCCTAACCACCGATAATTGTTGGAGTATTGCCAAGACTCCCTTCTCGCCGGCCTTCTTGCAAGATAGGAAGGGAGAAACTATTTTTTTTCCTTGATCTCATTATTTCTTCAGATCTCCTTTGCTAGCCATCGCTGCTTCTGCGGCATCTTCGACTGTTTCTTCTACTTCGGCTTCGTCCGCTTCAACTTCGGTTTTCTTCATCGTACTCAAGGATTGGAGGCTTCGACACTCCTTCCTAGACTGACGACTTCGGCTTCGACAAACCCTAGATCTTCGACTTTGGCACTCTCGGCTTCGACAATCTCGACTTCGACACTCACGGCTTCGACATCTCGGCTTCCGCACTTTTGGCGTGAAGATCTGAGAACAAATCGTCCTCATCATCGCAGGAAGAATCAATAACATTTAGATCGTTTAACAGGACGTGGATCCTACTTGAAGGCTATGATCAATAGCATCTGGATAGTGTAACTGGATCCTATTTGTGGGCTATGATGTGTAGCATTTGGATCTGAACCCCGATCCTACTTGTAGGCTATGATCGATAGCATCTGGATCGTGTAACTGGAAGTGGGTCCTTCTTTTGGCTATGATTCAAATTTTTGGACGATAATGATAAATGTTTTCTTGCTTCTCTTTGCTCGAATCATGTTATGGCTCAGGAGTTGTCTTTGAGGCTTCGACGCTTCGACACTCTCAGGCTTCAACACTCTTAGGCTTCGACATTCTCGATTTTGACACTTTCGGCTTCGACACTCACGACTTGAGAATTTTTGGTCCTGATAGTGTTATCAGTTTTTTGTTGGCAAATTGATGCTTCCTGATCAGTCAACATCAATTTGAGGGAGGATGTCAATCAGGAAGGACGTAAATTAGGCAGCTAAATTAGGAGTTTTCTATAATTAGGAGCTTCCTTATTTAAATTATTTCCAATATCTTTTTTATGATTTGTTTTCCTTTTTAGCTGAATATTTAGATTAGGAACATGTATTATTAAGTTATCTAAAATAGATTATATAGAATATTTTGTGCCTAAAACAAATTGTAAGATTGTTATTTAATGGAATGGAAGCAAAGGGAAAAGGCAATTGAGCCTATTCAGAATTCAACCTATTAGTTCAAAACTTTGACAATACATATAGAAAGAAATAAAAAGAATTCATAAAGGAAAAATAAATCAAGAGTAAAGTCTACATACATCACTCTATTAAAAAAAAGCAATCTACATACCGCAAAATTTTCATGTATTTATATATCTAAAAGCTAAACTTTAATATTTACTTGTATAAAACTTGATCTTTAATATCACATTAAAGAACCACTATATATATATATATATTATATTTTAAATGAATAATATCATTTCATACATATGTTTTGATGTGATTATGACACTACATCAATATATAAGTAAATGTGAAAGATTAGGTGTTAAGTAAATAAATCTTAGAATCGTGTGGTGTACAAAAAAAAAATCATGAGTAAAGTTTGTACATTTTAAAGACAGTAAGGAAAAATAGAAAAAAAATGATAGGAGATACAGTAGAAGCAGT